CTCATATAAGGTAAATTAAGTCAAAATTATGATTTTTCACACCATTGAGGTACAGTTAATGGCAAAATCTAGAAGAATGTGATATAGGCCGTCTATAACTTTTTATATAATAAAACAATAGTCATTGGAAGTGATGAGATTCGCCTGCTAGATATAAAAACCGGAAATTTAAGATTAATCTATAATAAAAGTTAAGCCAGTGCTACGAAATCAAAATGCAACAAGTGGCACGAGATAATACAAACCTGGTCTCCTCGAAATGCTCATGCAAATCGTACAAGGCCTGACAGGTTAGCAAGTGTTTAGCCTGTGTTGTTTGTCTCGAATAATGCTTAAATGACTGTTCACCACTGGCCGTTACCCAGAGCTTCGTCGTTGAGACTCCATTGCCTTCAGATGTAGGTGAAAGCCTCAGCGCTTGACATCCAACAATGGCGGATAAGAAAGTCTCCAGCGGCAGGAGATGCAAGCGAGGAAAGATTTGTCGAGCTGCTACGAACTCAGAAAGAGAGCCGTGTCTAGAACAAGAGAAGTCAGACTTTGAGAGACTATACCCGGAGCAGGGCTTTAGCTCGAGTCTAGAATTAGGTCCTAAGATAAGCTCAGAACTAGCAGTATGGCAATTTTCAGACCTCGAGTCACACGTAAGCTGGAAAAAGGGCTCCTTAGCTTGCCCCAAGGAACCCTGAAAAATCTTGTGGAAATCAGATGGCGTCTCAGGGCAGGTTCTGGACCTTGATAAAAGGCTGGCAAGCAGATAAGACCAAGGAAATCGACTTTTGTGACCTGATGAAAGGCAAGTCGTTGTATGGCCTATTCCTCTGTTTGCTATGCGACCGGACTAAATAAGTACAACACAGAAAACAAGTTAATTTGTATATGGAAAAAGTGAGGAAGCAATATGTTTATCAAGTAATGAGTAAATCAGCAAACTCCCATATTAGAGGCTATTATACGGTAGAAAATAATAAGGACAAATAAACAGTGCAAAACAGCAAGTTTCCAGTCTTGAAAATTATCGGGTAGAAATCTCTAGGACCAATGGATATAAAAGGCAAGCATGAAACAAATTCCGTGCAAGAGTTAAATTTCATTCAGAAGTCTTATATGCTAGAATATTTATCTGATCTGAATCGGAAACCCCTGCTAATATTAGAAACTTGGAAGATATACAGCCAAATAAAAAATTATTTTATATGGGAGTATGTTTAAAAGCATTCAGTAATTATTAAATTTTAAAAATTATTAATCCGATGCCGCTTATGTTAATTTAAAGGCAGAAAGCGAAATTACCTTCAAAAAAATGAGTGGACTCTACGATTTCACTTAGCTCTGGACACTAAAGATCATCATCTAGGGAGAAGTGCATACAATACCTCGCCTTGGTCTTAACAGCCTCCCCAATGGGATCGAAAATCGAGTTGTGATCATCTTAGCAACACACTCCCACTTAGCTAGAGCTATGAAGACCGGTGGATCATAGGATAGATGCGACATACGAAGCTAGATAGGCTTTGGGCAAATCACATTTACAGTGAGATCGTCGATGAGTGAAATATTTGCCATTACAGTCGAGAAAGTTACTTATTCTTTATGCAACTTTAGAAACAAGGAAAAAATAAATAGCATTCATAAATAAGGAATAACCAGATTATGGGAAACATG